CGAATTAGTACAATTGAAGTCGAATTAGTACAATTGAAGTCAACTTAGTACAATTCAAGTCGAATTAGTACAATTGAAGTCGAATTAGTACAATTGAAGTCGAATTAGTACAATTGAACTCGAATTAGTACAATTGAACTCGAATTAGTACAATTGAACTCGAATTAGTACAATTGAACTCGAATTAGTACAATTCAAGTCAACTTAGTACAATTCAAGTCAACTTAGTACAATTGAAGTCAACTTAGTACAATTGAACTCGAATTAGTACAATTGAACTCGAATTAGTACAATTGAAGTCGAATTAGTACAATTGAAGTCAACTTAGTACAATTCAAGTCGAATTAGTACAATTGAAGTCGAATTAGTACAATTGAAGTCAACTTAGTACAATTGAACTCGAATTAGTACAATTGAACTCGAATTAGTACAATTCAAGTCAACTTAGTACAATTCAAGTCAACTTAGTACAAATGAAGTCAACTTAGTACAATTGAACTCGAATTATATACTATATACTATATAGCATATAGTATATAGTATATAACATATCTATATAATAGTATACTATTATATACTATATACTATATGCTATATTACTATTTTACTACATGCTATTTTATAATAATATGTTATAGTAATATTGTATATTATGTTATAATAATATGTTATAGTATATAGTATATAGTAAAATAGTAATATAGCATATAGTATATAGTATATAATAGTATACTATTATCTATAATAGATATGTTATATACTATACTATACTATACTATATATAATATAATACATATGTTTATATAAATATTAACATATATGTATATATTATAAATACTATAATATACAAAATATAGATGTTGAATGATAAGAACAAAAGTTGTGTAGAAATAGCAGCGATAGCCTAGTGCGGCCTAATGGTAACGAGGAGCCCCCAGAGATAACGGACTCACCCGATCCCGGGTTCGAGTCCCGAATCTGGGAACCTCGTTACTATTTTTTTGTAACTGAAGAACGTATTCTGAGAATACGTTCTTCAATTAAATATAAAAAAAAAGCCTTTCTTCTTCTCCTTGCGCGAACATTCACTGAGAGCAGAAAAGAGAGAGTGCGAGCAGAGGAGAAAAACCGAGCAGAAAAGAGAGATCGCCGTCGCCGTCCGTTACCCTTGCCGTCGCCGTCCGTTGCCGTCGCCGCCTCGCCTACTTCACGGTGTAAGGTACATTCCTTCAATTTTGGCTTTAATTTTGTCAATTTCATTCAATACATCAAATTAGGGCTAAATTTAGGGTTTCGAATTTGTGAATGTATTTGTGATTTGTGAGTTTATTTGTGAATTAGAGAGTGAAATTATTCGTGATTTGTAGTAATTTGTGAATTAATTCGTGAATTGTGAAGTTATTTGTGAATTTATTTGCGAATTAGGGTTTCAAATTATTTGATATATGTTGAATTTGTGAATTCATTCGTGAATTGTGAATTTATTTGGTGAATTAGAGCTTCGAATTATTTATGGTGCCTTGAATTTGTGAATTTTTTCGTCATTTGTGATGTGTTGAATTTGTGAATTTATTTGTGAATTTATTCGTCATTTGTGAATTTATCCATCATTTGTGAATTAGAGCTTCGAATTTTCTCGTGATTTGGTGAATTTACTGTGTATATAATTTATTTGTGAATTTTTGAATTTATTGCTTATTTAATTTATTTGTAGAAAATGGCATCATCGTCCTCGTCACAACCTCAACGGTTGAATGTACACCCCGGTCCGATTGATCGCTCCCTTCTATACCTTCAGTACCGCCACCGGTCGAGGGCGGTATATGAAGATTTAGAAGGATGTCGTAACGGCACCATTAAAAACCGCCGTAACGACACTGAATTTTGGAAGGTGTTGGACAGACAACATCCGGCGGTTTTAGCGGTGATCGATAGGACGGGTTTTGGGCCGTTGTTTCGGATGGGCAGAGTCCAGACCGACAACAGCCTAATTACCTGTCTGGTCGAAAGGTGGCGACCGGAGACGCACACCTTCCATTTTGATTTCGGGGAGGCCACAATCACGCTCCAGGACGTACAAGTCCTGTTTGGTCTCCCGGTCGATGGAAAGCCTTGCTGGGGAGAGACTGTAGATTGGACAAACCAGCAATGGCGAGACGAGTGTGTGGACCTTCTAGGGTTCGACCCCCAGGTAAATTTTTTAACACATTTTTATTTTTTTTTTTATTTTTTGTTTTTTTATGTATAATCCATTGTTTGATTTTTAAATATACAAATGACTCTCAGGCAGCAGACGACCCGACAGCCAACCCCAAAACATGGGGCATCGTAGGCCAGTATCTGAAGCACTCGAGGTTGGAAAACGAATGCAACAGAGTGCTGCAAGATGGAGAAGACATTGAGACCTACGAAGAGAGGGCGAGGGCACTTATCCTCTGGTGCCTTGGATCGTTCTTCTTTCCCGATCAGAGGGCGTCTGGAGTCAACCTGTACTGGACCCAGCTCTTGCGCAACATCGATAAGATCAAGGAGTACAGCTGGGGGTCGGCGCTACTGGCCGCAGTGTATAGAGCGCTGTGCACGAGCTACCAGACCGGGGAAGGCTGGATCAAGAGTTGTGTCCAATTGATTCAGGTACATTTAATTAATTGTTATTTCAAAATTCATTTTCTTTCTAATTTAGACTAATATTTAATAACAAATGAATATGGCTATATCTTTAGGTTTGGGCATGGGAACGTATCCCTCGGCTTCGCCCGAGAATGAAGGATACGAGATTTCAAACTGTCATTGGTTGTCCTTTAGGTGGAAGGTAATGATATTTATTTATATATTTTATAATTTTATTATTTCAATTATCAATTTTCTAATTACAATTTCTGATGTTTTTTTTTTCTGTGATTTTTAAGGTGGGTGGGACGGAAGGACACGAAACATATAGTAACGGGAACAGCCGCTGTCCGGGACCAACTGACAGGGTTAAGAGAGACGGATGTAAGTAGTTGTTTGGTTTTTATTTTTTGTTTTATGTGTTTTATCTTTTAATAACTTACGAAATTATTATTATTTTTTTTTTGTTTTTTACAGTTCGATTGGATGCCGTATGAAGAGCTTCTGAATGCTAATGCTCTCCCGGGCCAGTGTACAGAACATTCAAGCCTCTGGATGTATAGGGGCTGGATGTTCTGTTGGGACATCCGTGAAACCCAGGAGCCGGGTAGAGTCCTCCGTCAGTTCGGGTGTCATCAGTCCATCCCCGACACTCCGATCATTACGGGTGAGGTCGACTGGGAGACACACCACCGAGGCCAGGGAATGACCGGGAGGGGCGTATATGATTGGGTGGACTTTCATTCCCAGTTTGGGAATGTTTGGGTCGAACGACACCAAAATGTCCTCCCAGATGAGCGTGTGGAGTCATTCGTACAGCCTGGCCAGGGGTACCTTGATTGGTTTCACAGCAGGACTGTGAGACTAATCAGTGACCCTACTAAGTACCCGGTGGTACAACAAGACGGAGGCTATCAGCCACTTGCCGAGCATTGGAAGTGCGATGTAAGTGTATAATTTGTGTGTGTGTGTGTTTTTTTTTTTCTATTATTATTTTATTTTTTGCGTTTCATAAAAATTACTTTTAATTAAATTTTCAGGCTAGCGGCATGGAGGGGGCTTACAACGTGCTATCCAATGTTGAGCATCTATATCATACAGCCCATCCGGAGATGCAGGCGGCAATCCAATATGCCAAGAGCCTTCTCTACACATCTCTGACTGTCGGAGGCGGAGAGATCGGTCAAGGGACGTCGTCAAGCCAAGTTTTATCACAAGAGAGCTACGTCCAACCCCAGAGGACGCAGTCACACCGAGCGAGGCATCAACCTCCTCCTCATATTCGTGGAGGTAGAAGACGACGTCACCGCGAACCAGTTGCCGACGACGGGCCTGAGGATCAACAAGAACAAGGTAAACATCTTTTAGTTAACAAAAATATAACTTATTTTTGTTTTGTGATTTTTTGTTAAGTCAAATTTATGATTTCTTAAAAAACTGAATTACTCAGCTGTAGAAGAAGAACAAGAACCTACCACGCCCACAGCATCGACTTCTGCACAACCACCACAGCGTCGGATTAGCAACCGACCGCGCAACCCTACGAATCGATACACTCCTAGTTAGTTGTGTTGTATTCGGAGACATTTTGTAGACATATATATTTATTTTTTTCTTTCGTGGATTTATGTGTAATGATATTTGAACTTGTTTGGATTTTTATATTTGGAAAGTGAATTATTGTGCTTTATTATTGTTTCTTTGACATGGTTGATATGGGATTTCTGAATTTTTATTTCGTTGTGGAATCGATCTCGATTAACAGGTGTGTGTTTGTAATTTTGTCCTTGTGAATTGCTGTATTTGCACAGTAAAACGTATTTTCAAAATACGTTTTTGTACTGTGCAAAATTAGGTCAAAATCGATTTGGGGATAAAATTAGGGCGAAATCAATTTGGGGCAAATTTGGTTAAAAAACGTATTTTGAGAATACGTTTTTGTACTGTGCAAAATTAGGTCAAAATCGATTTGGGGATACAATTAGGGCAAAATCAATTTGGGGCAAATTTGGTTAAAAAACGTATTTTGAGAATACGTTTTACTTTTCCAAATATTATTTTCCAAAAAAATTAGTTTTTTAAAATTAAAAATATTAATTTTAAATATTTTTTCAGAAAAACGTATTTCGGTAATACGTTTTTTGACCTATTTTAATTAATTTAATTACGATAATCACCTTAATTAATTTTTTATAGAAACACGTATTCTCAGAATACGTTTTTGTTTGAAAAACGTATTCCGAGAATACGTGCTTTTTATTTTTTTCTACTTCTTTTATTTTTTTTTATTTATGTCCACTTAATTTTTTTTATTTTTATATAAATAAATAAATCGGAGAATACTACTCTATCTTGGATGCTAGCATTCTCCCTAATTTATAATCAAATAATTCGCGCCAGCGCACGACCTGGCCAATGAAATGCCAGACACGCACGTGACAGCGCATACGTATCCCAATCCCAAAGCGCCATTCACACGTGCGTTGGCGTCCATTGAACCCGACCTCCGCCCGTCGCTTTCTAAGCCCGTGTCAGATCACAGCTACTAAAATAACCTCTTTCCCTCCTTTTTACTTCATTTGTGCCGCCTCTCACTTAAATGCTGAAAAATCAGCTTTCCCTTTTTGTTTTCCTTTTTACCAAAAGAAGATGAAAGCATAGCAAGCTGAAACTTGAAGTGTTGCGTAATTTGCTGGCCAGGTAACAG